TGCAAGCAGCCCTCCTATATGCGCAAGTCATGTTCCTCCCACACTAGAGCCTGAGTCCCAGGGCAAAAAACGTCTGATGGGAGAGTCCAAATATCCTCTGCATCATCCTTCAACAAGACTGGGGGAGCAACACAATTCTGTTTGGAATAGTGGCATGGGACATGGCAGATAGTGAGTTTTCCAGCCCCAACTTCCACTATGAGCACTGCATTGCCTCCTCACACCAAATCCTTGGGCCCACTGGACAGGAGCAGAGGTCCAGGAACCCAAGGATACTTAATCTATTGCAGTTCTGGACACAGCACCAACAGAGGACGGCACTTTTGTGGATCTACTGGCAACATCACAGGTGGCTTCTATGGCACTGGAGAGGGAAGCAGACTCCATACTGAGCCAACCACAAGGAAGGGAATAGTGGGGAATCCCAGAGAGCATTTGGAGCATTATGGAAGTAAGAGGTGAAACTTGAGGATCCACAATAACCAGTGAGATCAAGTGCAGAAAGAGTGTGTTAGTCTGATGTATGCTCTACAAGACCTTACAAAGATTTAATTAACAGAAAGCAATATTTTAAAAAAATTGTAGACCACATGTAGAACCTGAAATCCTGCCAAATCCCAGTCTGGTGAATGTCAGCCGACAGCCTTATTGCCTCTTAACACACAGTCTTTTCCCACATTGATACTTAGGGAATTCTTGATGGCTGGGGGATTCTTGGCATAGACATATCAGAGCTATTGTGGGTGACTCTGACTCATGTCCACATTACTGGACAATTCCATCACCCAATTAAGCATCTTAATGACACCTTCGCTGTCACACCTAAATTGTCAAAGATGCTATCTACATAAAACCAAAATAAACCATGAGCAGTCATTGTGTCTGCACCTCTAAACTCTGCTAGTTCTGCCAAAATGATTATTAACATGGAAAAGTTTCCTTTGTGATGTATTTTATGTAGCTTATAATCTGTCTTTCCCATTATAAAGATGGCCTTGTGGAAGCCCAAGTGATGCTTCCAGAATGCAAAACTGAGCAAGTCATTTTCCTCAGAAGAAAGTCCTCATTCCCTGAAATGGCTATAGGGCTCGTGGAGCCCCCCACTCATCACTCCATCCTCATCACTTGTCCTCATAACAGTCTTCTCACAGTTACCTAACACCCAGGTGTCATCACTGCTCTGAAGTCTGTCTTCTCTGTTTATGAAGACAAGTACTGTGGCTTTTTTGATATTCAATAGATAGATAGATAGATAGATAGATAGATAGATAGATAGATAGATAGATATGGCTTAACATGGGGCCTAGAACTTAGTAGGTGCTCAAGAAATATTTCTTCAAGAAATGAGCCAGGATATCAATGAATAATGAAATGACAAGAATCTTTTAAAGCCATTCACTCTTGGACAGCAAATCTGGTGTTGGCTGGAGGTATACGTGACTATTTGGGTCTGGTTGAGGGTGGCTCAGTGCCTCATTGAGCTCTGCTTTCTCTGCCGCCACAAAGAAGAAACAAGTGCCACCAATGGAAAGAAATAAAAGGAGAAGCTTATCTCAGAAGAAGACAAATAAGGAGTAAACCCCTGCAGAATGATCCTACAGCAAGAAGAAGGATGGTGCCCTCAGGAAGAGAATCAAAGGAACATGGGACACTAAAGCAAAGATTGAGAGCTGGTCGAGCATCAGTGTTATTGTTACCAGAAGAACTGGAGCCTCCTACCAGCAGCTCTTTCTCTGTTGCCGTAGGTAACTAACAGCTACTCAATAGGATAACCTCAGACCATGACTTAATATCCAGTAATTTTAAGGTAGGAAAGCCATATACTAATCATCCAAACCAGGACACTTTAGAGCATGAAATAGGAAACTATTGATTATTACACAAGGGCAGTAGAGGTAAGCCAGGCATGAGCCAGTCCTACCAGGATTATAGTCACGCCATTAATCCAGGACTTCAAGGACAGCACAGGGAAGAGCAAGAATCCTCAATGCAGAAATCTGAGTAGGGATTCCCCCACCCAAGATGGTCTCCACTAAATCTTCATGCCTGCCATTCCATTATGCTCCTGAAAATTTCTGAGAAAAAAATGAGAGATTTAGAAGTAAAGGGGAAAAAGCTATACTTACCAGTAAATACACAAATTTCTCACTGTACCACTATCCAGGTGGTGATTTTTTTCATTTGGTCTTTTAATTTTGAACTATTTCACATGGAGGAGGCCACTCGGATCAGAGAAACCCAAGAAAAGTTTGATGTTCTATGCTCCACTGATGCACCATGACTCCGGTTGTTTTGATGCTATTTACTGGCCGTGGGGTAATACCTGGCTTCCCGGGGCATTAAGGTGTGGATATGAACTTGGTTAGGAAAGCAGCAGTTTTGTCTGAGTCACTGTCACACTGTGTATACCAAACACTCATCCGGAGGCTCAGTTTCTTAAAATAAGAAGGGGGAAAAGACCACTGACAAACTCAGAAAGCTTTAAAGCATGAAAGGGAATAAAACTGACAGAAATAAAACAAAATACTCTTAGAAAACATCTAAGATAAAAGTAGGCTTTTTGTTTTGTTTTTGAAATCCAGGTAAAGGAGATCTTCCTCCCCGCTTCCTTTTTTTTTTTTTTTTAAGATTTTATTTATTTGTTCATGAGAGACACAGAGACAGAGGCAGGCAAAGACACAGGCGGGAGAGAAGCAGGTTCCATGCATGGATCCTGATGTGGGACTCGATCTCAGGACCGTGGGATCACGCCCTGAGCCAAAGACAGATGCTCAACCTCTGAGCCACCCAAGCGTTCCCCCACTTCCTTTTTTATTTTTATTTTTATTTTTTTTCCCACTTCCTTTTTTAAAAAAATTATTCGTCTTTAAGTTTTGGGGGAGTGGTTTTAAGTTTATAGAAAAATTGAGCAAAAAGACTTCCCATGTACCTCCTTTGCTGCCCCTCCCAAATTCCCCATTATTAACATATGGCATTGGTGTCATACATTTGTTAAAACTGATGAGCCAATACTATTATTATTATTATTAGTTAAATTGGTAATTACTTAAATACATTGTTATTAACTAAAATCCATAGTTTACATTGGGGTTCACTCTTTGTGCTGTGCATCCTATGAGATTAGAAAAACATATAAGGACATGTCTCCTCCAGTACAGTATCATATTGAATAGTTTTATGGCTCTAAGTGATGGACACTTGGGTTGTTTTCCTGTCTTGGCTATTGTGAATAATGCTGCAATGAACATCGGAGTGCAGCTATCTCTTGCATATACTGATTTCATTTTCACTAGATATGTACCCAGAAATGGGATTGCTGAATCATACAGTAGTCCTATTTTTAACTTTCTGAGGAATCTCTCTACTGTGGCCAGTAATGAATGGTTAAACCAATTTACCCTCCCACCAACAGTGCATAAGGGTTCCTTTTTATTTATATCCTTGCCAACACTTGTTCTCTCTTTCCTTTTGGACATCACCATCCTAACAATGTGAGGTGATACCTCATTGTGGTTTTGATTTGCATTTCCCTGATGATTAGTGATGTCGAGCATCTCCTCATATACCTGTTGGCCACGTGGATGTCTTCTTTGCAGAAATGTCTATTCAGGTCCTTTGTCCATTTTTTTTTTTACTGAGATATAACTGATGCATAACATTAGCTCTTTGAAGAGTGAAAATAGCTGTGTTCTCCCCATCCCAGCCCGGGTGCCCTAAAAAGCTCTTGGCTCCATTCACCAAGAGGCTCCAGATCCTGATTCCAGCATCAATCCAGCTCTGCTTCTCAGGGGCTGATTTAGTCACTGAATCCTCCTTTCCTAGCCCAGCACCTACATAGTGCTTCTGAAGGCCCTTCTGTGAGAAGCATGCTCTGCTGTGACTCTAATGATGACCATCAGCTCAATTCCCATTCCTCCAGGAGGACTTTGGGGTTCCAGGACAGCAGCCTGGGAGTGGGCACTCATTCTAAGTCTTTTTAACAGATGGAGGCCAGCCCAAGTGAGTGTCATGTGGCTCTGCGATGGTCATGCCCAAAGTGCTCAGTCTACATGGTACCTCTCTGCTCTTGTGCAGCACATGTCAGGTTCATGTCAAAGGACCCAGCATTCACTGGACCGGTACTATTCATTGTCTCTTCACGATGTTTAAAGTGAGAAGTAGATGCCAAGATACTCTTATTTTCCCCCACCCATCATTGTTGCTTCAAGTCTCTTCACTGTACTACACTTAACCCACTGTGCCCAGGGACTACCGGGTAATTCTGTGAAGCAGGCCGAGGTGGCTTCTTGGCTTTCTGCCGTGTGACAAGTGGGCTTATAAAGGATCAGTAGGGTAGCAGGTACAGCAAGACAGCTTCTTTATAACATCTCTATTATTAAAAGTAAAGTCAGCCCCATCTTTCAGTGCCCTGATGGGAAAGGAAAACAATCACCAGCTGACACTACTGTCAATAGTAAAAGAGGGTGTCCCAGCACCTCAGGAGGAAGCTGTGGCTGATTTTGGACTGCCTCTTCTAAGACAGTTAGGAAAGGGAGAATTGAAGGGCTCCTCTGCTTTGCTCACATCTCTGAGAAAGTCTGGAAGGAAGCATTTACCAAGAGGGCACTGAGAAGGCAGTAAATGTATGACAACCATTATTATCTGATTATCACCTCATGTTATCTTGAAGAGAAAATAAGGAGGATTTCTTTTTTTTTTTATAAGGAGGATTTCTTTTTAAGAATTAGCTTTTTAAAAAGAATTTAAATAAAAATCTTTTTAAATAGAACTCTTATTGATTTGCTTTTTGCTATTTCTGAACTTTTACTCATTGAGGAAAAAAAATAGAGAGGAAGGAAGGGAGAGAGGGATGCAAAAAGAAAAATCTGTTTTTCAATTTAGGGCTGAAAACACCTGGCCAATAATTCTGTGAAAATGTTCACTTAAATAGACCTCTCCTTATTCAGTCTCTTTTCGTAAATCATTTAACTGCTGTGGTACATTAAAAATCTTTAAAGAAGTGAAAGCAATTTATGTATTTATTACAGTGAATACAGAATTTTGAACTAAAATTCATGATGTTGTACATGCAAGGAAAATTATATTTAAAAATCGAACCAAAGTTGAAGCCCTCAAATTGCTTTTCTGAAGGTAGATTCCTCTTGGTCAAGAGATCATAGAGACATACAAGTCAAACAAATCTAACCCTTTAAATTTAGTCTCCTTGACTTGATTGTCACCCAGATATCCTTTACATGAGGCCCCAAAGATAACAGAACCAGAGAAGCTTTTTCATAAATGTACCTTCTTCCATGATTTCCATAATCTTAAGGTCCACCAATTCAAGGTCTAAGTTGAGAGAAAACCTAGCCCCATTTTGCAGATGAGCAGAGTGAGGTACAGAGGTGTGTGAGGGATGAACTGCTGTTAGTCATGGGTTTGTCCCTGCCCCTCCTCTGTGACTCTGAGCCTTGCTCAAGCCTGCTTGTTTAAGGGAGAGGCAAGCTTGCCACAGAAGAGGATCGTGTTGGTATGGCTGAGTCTTATGAAGAAAAGGAAGGGGTGGTTTGCCAGGAACCGAGCCCGGATGGGGAGTCTTTTCACAACAAAGCTGTCCCCAGTGGCTGCTGCCGCCTCTGTGCCCTCTTCATTGACATCCACATATGACTGGTGGATGACCTTTGATAAATATAGGCCATCAACTGGTGATATTCCAGAAAGATCAGCTGTGATCTCATTGAAGACATCTGTCATGCCCAGAGAATTTAGCAGGGACTTTAGCTCATACTTGATTTCAAGTCTGAATCTGGGAATGTGGACTTCAACTTCCCTTTCCACCATGTTAGCAGAGCTGGTCCACTTGTTAAATGTCTTCGTGTTCAGCTCCTTCTCTATCTACAAGGCAAAACACAGATGAGCCCATAGGAGCCAAACGTGTATAAAATGCTGTTGGTTTTATAATTCCTTGTGTGAATGATTCAATGTATTGCTTTCTTTTCTACTTTGAAATGCACTGAAGTCCTCTCTGAAAAAAAAAAAAAAGGAAAAAGAATCTCGCACTTAGCCACATCTTCCCTGTTCTATCGTCTACCTTTTATCCATGTTTCATAAGTCAACGCCTCAAATGTGTATCCTATAGTCCACTGCCTTAACTCCCTGTAGGCTTCACCTACATCCCTTTCTTGCCTCTGGAGCCCTTGTGTCTCCTGGATGAATTCACCATTTCTTCTCGGTTCTCAAACCAGAAACTGTGAATCATACCCCCCATCATGGACTCACTTCTCCTTTGGCTGTTGTGACGCCCAGCATCTCTTCATTTCATTCTGCTTCACTTTTCTCTCCTTTGCCCCCTACTGTCTCCACTCCACTACCCCTGAAGCTCAGCTCTACACACTCTTCCTGCCTCCACCTAGCCATGCAGCCTCACAACCCGGCTTCTCGCCCTCCACCCAGTGTCACAATTTTGTGTAAGCTCTCCCCTTGGGCATTTGAAACCCTCCAGCCAGCCTTCTGGCAGGCCAAATCCCATCATTCAACTATAAAAGCTGAAAACTTTTTGTCACCTTCACTCCATCCTGACAATATACAATCAGACATAAAGTAAAGGTGGTTTTTCTTCATAACTATCTTTTCCTTTTGCCTCTCTCTACCCTAATCCAAGTTACCATGACTTTGTGATGCAAATCTGTTTCACAATCTCATATGTCTCAGGCATTTGCATGAGCTCTTCGCTCTGGTTAGAACAATGGGGCACCCTAATTCCACCTATTCAACTTCTACTCCTCCAGTGTGTGGCATCAAGATTATGAGGAACTTTCTTTAATCCCCTCATTCTCTACTCTCTCTACTGCCACAGGACTTTTTGCTGTGTATTATGGTACTTATTATATGATATTTATAACTCTGTGCTGGAACCACATGTTTGTGTTTCAGAACCCACTAGAATTCTCAGCATAGAGTAAACATGCAATGTTTGGTATATGAATGAATAAACAAACAAATGAATGTATCACAAGATGATAAAGACCACTTCTAAACTGCTCCCAAAATGCTATCTGTGCTTCCAAATATCTTCCCATGGCAGCCCACCACAGGCACCCAGGGGTCCAAGGCCCTCTGAATTGGCCACAGCAGTATCCCATCTATTCTCATGGCCACAGCCATGCCTCTCTTCCTAGAGGTCCAAATGCATACATCCCGACCCAGGTGTTCCAAGAAGCCTTCCCTATCCCCCAACCAACTGTGCCACACTATAACCTCAATCAGGCACTCCCTGACTTAGAAACCTCTGACTGTGGCCATCCCATCCGTGGGCAAGGGCAGCTTCCTCAAGATCCCAGAAGCACAGCTGGTCTCTTAAGAAACTGTTTCTCCTTCCTGCAGAGCATGGGAAGTCCTAGCAAGGCCAGGGAGGAAGTGCAGTCGCTCCATATTAGTGGCTTGCCTGCTTCTCTGCTGGGTAGCCTTGGCTGCAACCAGGAAGAGGGTATTAGACCCAAACTCCTGCCACCATCATGACCTGTCCTCAATGTCTGTGGCACTCATTTCCCCCCACAAAACCAGAATGGTAATAAGGATGGTTAGCTCATGAAAGCATTTATATAAAATGCTGGAAAAACTCAATGGGAGGAAGATGGTTTAAGCAGATTTCTGTGGACTAAGACTCTAACGAGCATTACAAGCTCATTACCACAGAAAGATGCTTCCCAAATGTCAAGTAAACCGTAGGTGTGGTATTAGTACAAGATGGTACTTTTGCCTCCTTGCGCCCTCTTTTATTTAAGAACAGATTATTCCCCCAAAATACACTGTCCTGAAGGCAGGGACCAGAGTCCCTATCCCCTCTCACAGCTCCTGGGCCAATAAATACCACTGAACCTAGAGTGTGACTGAATTAGGAACCGAGCACATCAGCATCATGGGGTACACATAGTTGGGAAGAGCAGGTACAAGCACAGATGCTTTCTCACGTGTTAGTATTCTTTACCTGTTCTAGACTGGCTGTGCCTGCTGGAAGCAGAATAATCATGCTTAGTTTGTTGTTAACATAGGGCAGCTCAAGAACTTGCATCTGCGGCTCCTTTATGAAGGCTAATTTATATGTTCCAGTTTGATACATCATTTCCACAATTATGCTTTTACCCTATTTAAAAACAAAGGTTATAATTAGGTAGACTAGTTCTATATGTGCATGTACAGGTATGTACACTGATTTTTTTGCCTAACATACAGTTCTGCGTTAACACTAAAGGCATGGATAAAATATAAACAAGTGCCCCCATATTACTTTTCTCTGTGAAGGTTATTTTTTTTATTTTAAAATAAGTCACTGTTAGAGCCTGACTAGTTCAAATAATACATATCATCACCTATACATAAAATACATATGTATAGTAATAAATATAATAATAATAATGTTTCACCAAAACAAAGCCAACATTTAAAATGATTTATGTGGAAAAATGACATCATGGGAACATTTTCCTTTTTAATCCAATTGGAGACTGTCTAGGAGAAAAATAGTATAGTTTTGTTGTGCTGAGAAAACAGCCTACAGCATGTGTGGAAAGCATGCATGGATAGGGGAACAGTGAGGAGAGAACAGGTTCTCTTCTCTGCCACGGCGGCCCCAATGCTCGAAGGCTCCAGTTAGGTGCCCTGTGAGAAAGGTTACTGTCACCTCACGAGGAAAAATGAAAATAAAATTCAGAGAGAACACAATCACAGAAACCTATGGAAACCTAGACCAGTATTTTCACTAAAACTTTCTAAATCATCCTTTAATAATTATTGCATTCTTCAGAATTTATCATCAGTCTGAAAACAAAATACTTACCTCATTTAGCTGAAAAGGCATTTTAACTGTCTCTCTTTCCTGAAACTTATTTTGCCATTGTCCTTTGAAATATATGGCATTCACCAGGACCATTACACAAGAAGGGTCAATTGTTCCCTTTCCAAAGAGGTTTGTGACTTTTCCTTATAAAAACAAACAAACAACAACAAAAAACAGTTAATGTACTTGGATTTGAACTTGGGTTTATTGATTATAGAGTTGAAAAGTTACTAGAAATTTGGAACCATTTCTTTTTTATTTTATTATTTTTTATTTTTATTTTTATTTTTTTTGGAACCATTTCTTTTTTAAGACTAGTTATAAATTTGAGATGCCAGGAGAACTGCTTTATCTCCTGGCCATTGAGGCTGTCCTTGTCAAATGAAGTTTATGTCCAAGAATTGAATGCTTTGTTATTTCTAATCAGAAGATGGCATCCAATATACTAAGTAGTTAGTATAGTAGCTAATGACCAACTTGTCTTATACCTAGTTATATCCAATGCTTTCCTATATATTACTACTTATTTTTTAATTTTAATAATTTCTATGGCTTCCTTTTAATATTTATCAAGCTTTATACTTTCCAGCAACTCACCACATCCAAATATTTTAAGCATTCAAAAGATTGATTCATTCTTACAATGTACTAGCAATTAGTGTATCACAAGTATATACCAAGACTTAAAGTAAATACACATTTGATAATCAGAATTTATAAAAATATACAAGGTGTATCTTACTTTGTAAATATACCAATTAGATTGAACACCAAACCCTCTTGGTGCACTCTGGTGCACTGCAATTTATAAAACCTTTTTGGAACATAATGTATCAAGAGGAAACATAGGGATATCTGGAACATCAGACTCTAAACTTAAATCTTTTCACTACTGTTCTAAGTAAATTAACAGATCCGAAAAAATTGTAGACCTTTCCAAGCATTTTCTAACATAATACAAAGAATTGAATAAATACATATTTCAATCTAGTCACCTATTACTAAACTTGAATAACATCCATCAGTCTGTCATCAATAAAATACTGTTGAGAGTTCATAACTGGTAAATGAAATAATAAGATACAAATATGTTAGAAATGTGGTCTTTAGGCTCAAAGAAGTATTTATTTTATATTACTGACATGCTCTTCATAAATGCAATTAGCTCTAATTTAATATTTAGATATTATTTCATCCTAATTTTATTTCTCAAGGAATCAAGGAATAAGACTGTCTACATTCATGAACCTCAGAAACTACTGGTACAATGAGTTGATGGCACAAGTACCCAGAGAGAGATTATTTCAACATGGGAATTTGTATATCTCTGGTGGGACAGATGTACTCTAAGGACAAAAAAGAACTGTAAAAAATATCTTAAGCTACTGTTATATTTTATTAGTATTGTTATTTTGAGGTCGTGTTTATGTTGGATGATGTGATTTTGCAATAATATTGGTGACACTGGAATCTGGGATTTTGGACACAAGATAAAAGAAAAATAGGTATAAGGGGGGGTGTTAAGTAAAACTCATATGAGTCTTAATTTTAACTGGTCATATCAGTAAGAAATTAAGCTGTATTTAATCTGAAAAAAGTATTCACTGAGAAGGCCTATAAAGAATCAAGCTGGTATCAATGAGTACTCCTGTACCCAGATTACGGTCTCTAAATATCATGTATCATTAAAATGATCCAGGATTCCCTCAAGAAGCATGAAATTCTAGGTCAGGAGTAGGACATGAGCTTGGAACATCTGGTCAAATTGGAAACAAGGTAGATATCAAATTCTTCCAAGGGCAGTGTCAAAAGGACTTTTGACTCCAATTTATAGTCCCATAACTAAAAGGGGACAGTAAATTGAAATATCTCAAAATATTTAAATTTATGAATTCATAATGATACTTTTAAAAGAAAACTCATTGGCTGGGGCCCCTGGGTGGTGGAGTTGGTTGAGCAACTGACTCTTGGTTTCAGCTTAGATAGTGATCTCAGGGTCATGAGATCAAGTCCTGCATCAGACTCTGCACTCAGTGCAGAGTCTGCTTAAGTCTCTCTCTCCTTCTCCCTCTGCAACAACCTCCACCCCCCACTCGCTCATTGTCAAATAAATAAATCTTAAAAAAAAAAATAAAACTTGCTGACTAGAAAGAAAAAAGTTGTTTTGGAGCTGATATTGAAGAGAAAGAATCTAGCTTTTTTATTGTTTTTCTAATATTAATTTCTTTGTACTTAGAACAACCAAACACTTTATGAGAAATTTCTCATGTAGAAATATTCCAGCTTATAAAGAATGCAAATATTGGAATACTGTAACTTTAAAATCCCTAATGAAATAATGGATGTAAGCAATTATCATCAGAGGCCACTAACATAAAAAAAAAGGAGAGGAGGCATCCAGACATTCTTTCTTTCCTGATGGAAACACAACACCTCCAATGAAGAATATCTGTCAAAAGTAACAAACAAACAAGCAAAAATCACCAGAATCTTATCAAGTTTCTAAGTCTAACTGCCAATTTATGAGAAATATAAAAACAGAGAACATTATTAAATGACATTTCAAGGGGTAGTCATCATCATCTAGACTATGAGAAAATGCAGGAAAGTATGAGAAAAAAGAAAAGGAAATAACTAAAAGCTCAAAAGAGAAATTATTAAAGTATAAAAACAAATGTAAAGAGATATCTTTGATAGTGCAGTTTATAACAGACCAATATCCCTGGCAAGAAGATAAGGAAAGCTGAATACTTTTTTTTTTTTTTTAATTCTACACTGGGTTGTTTCTGAAGCAACTGCTAAACATAAGCAATGGAGAGGTGAAAATCTGAACAGAAAGTGACTAAAAGAGACAGAGAAGCTGAGTAAAACTGTCAACATCATAAAAGGGTTGGAAAGACCAAAAACAAAGTTCAAAGAAGCAAGCAACCAACACTGAAAGGCTAAAGATCCCAGCGATTGGGAGAAACATGGACACATGAGCTCAACAGAGAGTTCTGAACAATTTTTCCCTCAAGGTCTAACGAAGTTTCAAAAGTTGCCCCAAGCTAGATTAGGAGAAGAGAGTGAATACTAGAAATTTAAAAACTACTCTTGGTCTCTCAGTGCTAAAGAAAATATTACTAAAGTTCAGTATCTGACAAGGTGGTATAGGTGTTTCATAATAAAGAAAGGACCAATCCACTGAGAAGATATGGCAATTTAATATCTATGCATCTAATAACACAGCTTCAAAATATGCACAGCAAAACTGGACATGACTAAAAGGAGGAAGAGAAAAATCCACAATCATAGTGGAAGATTTTAATGCAGCTTTCTCAGTAAATGATTAAAAAAAGTGAATAAAAATAAGCAAGGATATGCAAACATAGACATCAAAATTAACAAAGTTGGCCTGATAAAATTAAACATCTCACCCAATATCTAAAGAATATACATCTTTAAGTGCACATAAAAATTTTATCAAAATCAAAACATTTGTTTTACTGTAAAAAAGTCTCAATAAATTTCAAATAATTGAACGATTATATTCTTTGGTTATAACAGAACTAAAACTCAATAACTAAAAAAACAACTAGAAAATAGCCAAATTTTTGGAAATAAATGGAACATTTCTAAATAACCCATGATTCAGAGAAGAACTCTCAGCGAAAATTAGAAAATATCTTGAACTAAATTATAATGAAAATAAAACAAATGGAAAATTATGAGATGGATTTAAAATGACACCTAGAAGCAAAGCCACTGTTCTAAATGCACACACTAAAAAAAGATCTGAAAATCAACTGTTCATCTCAAGAAACTAAAAAAAGAATAGCAATACCAACATAGTAAAAAGAAGGAAATAAATGATAATCATAAATATTAATGTAATAAAAAATCTTTATTAGAGAAAATACAAGTTGATTTTTTGAAAAGACTAAAAAACTACAAATCCGTAAGTCTAATTAAGAAAAAAGAAATATGAAAAAAAAGAAAAATGTACAATTTAGATTTCCAGAAATAAAATGACAATACTATATATCCATAAGACATAAAGAAGATAATACTAGGCTATTATGAGCAAGTTTATGCTAATACATTTGAAAATTCAGATAAAATGGGCATATTCCTTGCAAAAACTTACACAAGAAGACAGAAAATAGAAATGGGCCTCTATTTATTAAAGAAATCAAATCTCTAATTAAAATTTTCCCACATAGAAAACACCATGCACAGAGGGCTCACAAGTGTGTTCTTCCAAATATTTAAAGAAGACAAATGCACACTAACCTTACATAAACTCTCTTTTGGAAATCAGAAAAAGAGGAGAAACATTTACCAACTAGTTTCATAAAGTGAGTATAACTTTGATACCTGAACTGATACAAAAATAATTCAATAAATAAAAAACTAAGGTCAAATCCTTTCATGAGCATTGGTGCAAAATCTTTAAGAAAAATATTAAGAAATCAAATCTAGAGATAATAAAGTATAAAGCAAAAAGTATAATATACCATGACAAGTTTGGTTTATTCTAGGACTAAAAGTTTGGTTTGACATTAAAAATCAATTAATGTAATTCACTAAATTAGTATAAAAAAAGAAGAAAAATCATACCTCAATAGATACAGAAAAGACTTTGAAATACAATATGGTTAGTCATTTGTGTCAAAAATTCTTAGCAAACAAGAAGTAGAAAGAAACTTCCTTAATCTGAAAAAAATGTATTCATATAAATACCTGCAACAAACATTATACCTAAATATATATTATTAAAACCATTTGGGGATCCCTGGGTGGCGCAGCAGTTTAGCGCCTGCCTTTGGCCCAGGGCGCGATCCTGGAGACCCAGGATCAAATCCCACGTCGGGCTCCCGGTGCATGGAGCCTGCTTCTCCCTCTGCCTGTGTCTCTGCCTCTCTCTCTCTCTGTGTGACTATCATAAATAAATAAAAATTAAAAAAAAAAAACCATTTGGAAACAAGCTAGAAGTCCAGAAACAAGACAACATAAGGACGCCCCAGTATCAGTACTTCTGTTCAGCTGCAGTCACTAGCCAATAAGAAAAGAAAAGAAGCAAGAAAGGTTGAAGAGGAAATGACTGTATTTATAGAAAATCTAAAATAATAAACTAGAATTAAGAGAATTCAGCAATATTAACATATGAAAGCCAATTATATATTTCTACATGAACAAATAAAATTTAAAATAATTGGTACTAGGTAAAATTCCATGAACATTTCAAATATCTGAAAACCATTTATCAAAAGACATGCAAAACATTAACATGGAGATACACAAAATGTTATTGAAAAAAATTAAAGAGGACCTACACAGAGATAAACTCATGGAAATGGATTGGAAGCTAAATATTATAAAGATGCTGGTTCTCTCCAAGTCTATAGATAAATATATATCATTCCGACTAAAATTTCAACCAGTATATTTAACAAAAAGTGACAAGTTGATTTTAAAATGCGTATGGATTTATCACTTATGGTGATATCATATGTGATATCATATATTTTGCCTTTCTCAGTCTAACTTTTTTCACTCAGCATTAATACCCTCTGGGTCCTCCACGTTGTCACAAATGGCATGGTCTCTTCCTTTTTTATAGCTGCATAAAACAACAACAAATGAATAAAACAAAGAGCAGAATCAGACCTACAAATGCTGAGAACAAACTGATGGTTGCCAGAGGAGAGACAGGCTGGGGGCTGGGCAAAATGGGTGAAGAAGAAAGGGAGATAGAGGCTTCCAGTTATGGAATGAATGTAAGTCAAGGGAATAAAAAACACAACATAAGGAATATAGTCAATGATATTTTCATAGCTATGTATTGGAATAGATGGTAGCTATAACTATGGTGAACATAGCATAATGTATAAACTTGAGTCATTATGTTGTAAACTTGCAACTAATGTAACAATGTGTGCCAACTTACTTAAATATAAATAAATAAACAAAATATATATGGAATGCAAAAACTCGGGCAAAGTCAAGGCAGCCCCAGAACAGGATCAACATTGGACTTAACACTTCCAGCTATCAAAACATACTGCAAAGCCACTATAATGGTGGTATTTTCATGAGAATAAATAGACAAATGAAGCACACTGAACCCAGAAACAGATTCACACATATGTGGTCATCTGATTTATGATAAAGTTTACATTGTAGTGTAATGGTGAAAGGATCATCTTCCCAATAAATAGTGCGATGTCAACTAGATGTCCATGTGGAGTGAATGAATGAAAAAATGAATGAAAAAATGAATTTTTTAATGAATCTTGACTAGAGTGAAACAAAGCTTCTAGTAGATAATTATACAAATATTTTCATGAGCTAGGAGTGCACAAAAGATTTATTTAAAAGTATGCCAAGGTACTGATGATAAAGGAAAATATTGATAAATTTTACTTCTTTCTTTCAAATTAAGAACTTCTATTCATCAAAGGCACCATTAGGGGGAGATACAAAATGGTAGAAATTACTTGCAGCACATATATTCAGTAAATGCAAACAACTCCTAAAAATGTATAAGAAAAAATCAGGGTGCCTGGGTGGCTCAGTTGATTAAAGCTCTGCCTTTGGCTCAGGTCATGAGCTCTGGGTCTAGGGATCCAATCCCCCATAGGGCTTCCTGCTTTAGCAGGGAGTCTGCTTCTCTCTCTTTCTTCTTTTACCCCTCCTCATCATTCTCCCTCTCTTAAATAAATAAAATCCTTTTTAAAAAATGTGTAAGAGAAAAACAGACAAACCATCCTTACATATGGGCAAAAGATTCAAATAGGCACTTTATAAAGGAAGATATGAAGTGTATGAAAAATGCCCAATGTCTTCATTCATAAAGGAAATGCAAATTAAAATTAAACAATCTACGGGACACCTGGGTGGCTCAGTGGTTGGGCACCTGCCTTTGACTCAGGTCGTGATCCTGGGATCTGGGATCAAGTCCCGCATCAGGCTCCCTGCAAGGAGCCTGCTTCTCCCTCTGCCTGTGTCTCTGCCTCTCTCTCTCAGTCTATGTCTCTCATGAATAAATAAATAAATCTTTAAAAAATAAAATTAAATTAAGTTAAATTAACTACAATGACTAAAGTTAATAAGACTTAACAGGTGTTGGCAAAGTTGAGGAATAAATAAAACTATCATTAATTTCTTGGGCAAGTACATTAGCAAGCCACTTTTGAAAACATAAGTACCAAAATGGTATATATATACCTTGTATTATCAGCAATTCCATTTCAAGGTATCCATCCAACAAAATCACATACAATATATGTACCAAAAGATATATATCGTAATGCTTATAGCAGCACTATTCATAATAGACCCAAACTAAAAATGTCCCAAGCATTCATTAAGACTCAGTAGACTGGATTAACATATTTAGGTATTTTAAGAGAACAAAACTGACATCAATGAAAATGAGCAAATCATGCCATCCTGTAGTCACATGAATGAATCTCACAAACAAAAAACCTAAAAAACCCTAAATATATATTTTATGATTCCAATTACATGAAATTTTTAAATAGCCAGAACTAATATATAATAAAAGAAGTCAGAGAAGTCTTAATGTTTGGGAACAGGGTGGGTTAGTTTCTGGGAGGAGACACAAAAGTGGCCTTGGAGTGTGCCCTTCTCAGTAACCGATGTTTTATTTCTCTGACCTGGTAGAGGTGGAAGGAGGTTACCTGAGGGCATTCACTTTTGTGACAATTTCTGCTTTGTGATAATTCATCGAACAGCAATTATGAACTTTTGTGATAATTCATCGAACAGCAATTATGAACTTTTCCATAAGTACATGTATTTCAATAAAAAAAAAGTTTACTTTAAAAATCAAGATGTGGGTCCTGGGTGGTTCCACTGGTTAAGCATCTGCCTTGGGCTCAGGCCATGATCTCAGGGTCCTGGGATCGAGCCCCACATGGGGCTTCCTGCTCATCATTGAGTCTATTCTCATTCTCTCTCTGTCCCTCCTTTCCCCTTGCGCTCTCTCTCTCTCTCTCTCTCTCATTTGCATGTGCTCTCTCTCAAATAAATAATAAAATCTTTTTAAAAATTAAAAAAATACAAAATAAAAATCAAGATGTAAGAAACATACTGACCAACTACAAAGTATAAATATTATTTGGGTCCTGATTCAAACAGAAGAGACAATTGGGGAAACAGAAAAACTCACTATTTGTTAATATTAAATGATTATTTTTAATTTTCTCTATGTAATAATCGTGTGGTGGCATTTTCTTTTAAATAACTAATATTTTTGAGAGGAAACAACCTGACAAAAAAAGATGGTACCTGGGATTTGTCCTGGAAGAGGTAGTGGGCAAAGGGTGAGGTATAGCTATAAGATTGGCTTTGGGTAATAAATCCTGCAGCTGAGGGGTCAGAAAAGATTCATTATATTATTCTATTTGTTTTTCTTTAAATCTTAACTAGATGTTTTAAAATAATAAAATGAATACATCTTTAAAATTAAATATTTAACCTGCTTTAAATAAATATTTGACAATTAGAAGGTTTATTTTAAAATCGTGAAAGGTAGATTTAAATTTCATTAAATTTAATTGCAGAATGTACAACACTCTATAAAGTAGAAAGAGCATTCTTCTCATTCTCAGAGTCACTTGGCTTAGCTCCCAATCAGGACAAATGACTGTAAAGGACATTTACAAATATTCCAAAATACTCCCCCATTTCCTCCATCCTGGACCTGCCTATGTTGGGTCCTGAACTTCACCCAGCTTCCTTGTCAGCACTGACTCAGGGAGCTTATCAAAACAGTGTGAATGAGGTTGGGAGACACATGTGGGATTTACTCTTACCATTAGTTTTACTTTCAACCCAAGCATTAATAGTTTTCCGGGTTTCTTCTGGAGACTGTTCAAAATCAACAGTTTGCGGCAAAGCTTGATACAGTTTCTCAGAACAAGTTAAATATTGCTGTAAAAGAAAGAATAATCACACAAAAATAGTGTAAGGGAAGCAAAAGCTTACAGCTCTCTGTGTTCTAAAATCTACAACGGAGATAAAAGCAGCTCATGTATATATGTCTGGAAGGAAGCAGAAACCATATGTACTTATTCATAATAAAACAAATGGATTTAAATAAAGCTTTCCAAAAGGAATGTTCAGAAATTCTGGTTGCTTCTTCCATCTTATCACTGGCATTCTTCATTCTAAAATGCTCAAAGCAAAATGGCAAGTGGCAGTTCACTCTCACTACTCTGTCCTCTCGAAGCAGACAAATGGGAGTTACTGCCCTATGTTCTAGATTGGAAAACTGAGATCTAGAGTGATTACCTGAGTAAGGATCAGAGTGATTACATTTTGCTTGTTTGAGGTCTAACGGAGAGTTAGGTCTTCCCACAGTGTGTGTGTGTGTGTGTGTGTGTGTGTGTGTGTGTGTGTGTATCAACCTCCCCAAAAGCCACTAGAGATAAAATGATAATAATATTCTCTGTTGTATGTAATTGTACGTAATTTTCAACTTTATATAAAATGTGAACAAAAATATCTTAAAAAACTATTTTATTCACCTATACCATCCAAAGAAAAATAGTGTGCAAATCTAGTATAAAGAACCTAGCCCTCCTTTTTTAAATTTTTTTTAAAGCCTAGCCCTCCTTTTAACCAAGTTCCCAAATCCTCCCCCCCACCATATGATATTCTGGACTTATCACTGATATTCACCCATGGTCCTTAATTCCTAGATATGGCAACTTTCCACTGCCTCACTGCCAAGGCAGCAGCCAAATTTACACGGACCCAAATGAAACTACCTGCCATTCCATTCTTGAGACCTTGGGAACATACCTCCTATAGTCCAGCAGGACCCAGAGCTCCACCATGAACTGATTAGGATGATATAAGACTTACAACTATGGCAGGTATGAAAGTGGCTGCCTGGAGTTTGGCTTGCCATTTGTTTAACTGGGTTCTCTTGGCCCTAAATCCAGTATAGAATAAAAAGAAAGCTTGATAACAGCAAACTCGGAGCCTGTTGTCCTCAGCTGGTCCAACTGTGGGTGGAACATGCTGAAGTGACTGCCCTTAGCCCATGAGATGAAAGTTTTTCCAGAGAGAATCCTGGAATAATAATATTTCATGCATGCAACAGATTATGACAATCCTCATGATACTAATGAGGAGCTTCATGCTTCAGGAATAGATAGGATCATCATTATTCCAAATCCACACTTCTTTGTTATTTATACCCAGATCACTATTTTGGGGAGGCAGAGGGGTGAGAGGAGTGTTCTAATTTCAGGAACCATCACTATCCATCCCTACCACTTCAGCAGCAGGTACCCCATAAAATATTCCCTCTATGCCTTTAGGACAGTAGAAGGAAATACCTCCAAAATACCTATAGTTTGGGATGGGCTACCCCAAGCTGCAAAAATTCTGACAATCAACTATAAGACACGGAATGTGTTACCAGACCAGAGAAGAACATTAGACATTCAGGACTCCATCCTGCTCTCCGTCGGCTCAGATGTAAATAAAACAGGTCAAATAAAAATTATGTCACTCCAGCTAGCATTCCACCTCAATCATAGCAGGATGACACAGCAATTAAAACAAGATGATAGATTTGGTCAAGGGTCAGATTCAGGCTTTGCCATTTAATTATCTCTGTAACCTTTGTCAACTGGACTTTTCAGAATCTGCCTCACAACTCTAGAATGGTAATTTTGTACTTATATATATGTGACAGTTAATGTGATAATACCTGTAATGCATTAAGTACAGTGAACAGCATACAGTAAGCACTCAATAAAACTGTATATTACAATACTGTTGGGAAATGTTATAGTGTTAGAATCTTGGAAGCTAGAAAGAACTTAAGTCTAATGCTCTCATTTTAAACATAAAAGTGACCTGTGCAAAGTCATATGTCTAACAGGGAATAGAATTCAGATCTCTTGGCTCCCAGTCCAGTGCACTCTCCAGATTCTTGGTACCCTGCCATCAAGGACCTTTGAAAAAGGGACAGGAGATGTAACTCATTTTTCTTCTGATCCACAAGAGAATTCTTAACTACTTTGTTTTGTGCTTCATCCATGACCTTGCTTCTTGGACAACTTCGGTGGTTTTTGCAGAAATAAAATTTTTATGTGATATTTCACAACTTTAAATGGGAGTTTGGCAAAACCATTTCACTGAAACTCTAAGTCAGCTCAAATTTAATCTCTTAAAGATGAATTTCATGTAGCTCTTCTCACTCTTCACTTATTTTTTGGTCTGGAATTTAGAGGATGCCAAGAGAGCTGTGGGCCAGCATTCCATATGAACATACCTGATGGAACACCATCGCCGTTGTCCCGTAGAGTCTGTTGGCCATGCTGAGGGTATAGTTAGAGTCTGGCTGGTTGATTTGAGAGAATAAGACTCCAAACTCTGAGTGAATCCTTCCAGCTTGGCTGCACTGAAGCATCAGTAAACAAAGAATGGAGTATTAAGTTGCTTGATTTCTTGCCATTAGAGGGTTATAAATAGTGTGAAAACATAAGGAGAGAGCAAGGTGATTGCCTCTGAATAAAAGAGTAGAGAATACTAACAAACAAGGAGTAGGAGAGTTTAAAGCATGTTCCTTCTCTAGATTTCCTCTAGCACACTAATCTCAACACTCTGTGACCTTACTCCCACAGATTGTGTGCAGAACTGTAAGCTATTGCAAAACACACAAGTGCTTGCTGGCCCAAATAGGTTAGTCCAGAAGCACAAGTCTTCATAAAGAGATTGCAGTGGGGTCTTCAGGATGATGATCCAAGTTATATTGCTGTCCCTGTACCTATCGAATCATCTCTTCTCTATCACACTACTTTCAATGTCTCAGTTTTCTATGAAACCATGTAACCAGACACTTCAGCATTTCAGTGACCTGACCTCACTCACCCATCTGACCCTCATGGGAGCAATTTTGTTAGACCTACAGTTTTGATGCAACTGAACTCAAGGACATTATAGGGGTAGGCCTACATTTCCTAAAGCAAAGTTTCCCAAATTACGAGCTTTCATTTCCTCACAACAAGCAGGGTTCTGTGAAGCAACTATTCTGTGAACCTATATGCATTTACGTGTTTTCCCAATCAATCATGGTCAAACACACTACCGTCTTCATGTGCGACTTCTATGTAATTTTCATGTCAGAAGGAATTCTCCTACTAGAAAAGAGCAGGGACCATGGTCCCAGGCAACATGGGCTGGGCAGCCTCAGGCCCTGTTTTCCTGGGGGTCTAATTATAGGCAGACATCAGGGTCCTTTCTTAGTGCTCCCACTGACAAAAAGCTACCACTTTTTGATGAGGCTGGCAGACTCAATCCCATATTGAGATTTATGGCACAGTCCATAAAAGAACATAAAGTTTGAGCAAGGATGATAATAAATCATATGATAAAATCTGGGGGACTTGATCATTGTTACCATCATTATTATCACTGTTAACTCTATAGGCCATAGTGATTATCAGGAAGACCAAAGGAGTAGACCAAGCGAGACACTGCTAGCTCCCTTAAGGACTAAAGAGAGGCTCTGCTCCTTAACCCCCGTACTATAATTTCTTGGTGCTCTTCTGTTAGAACATTTGACAGTTCAGCAATGATATTATCATACCTTAGCTGAGTCCTTGAACTCTGGTTTTAGTGACTGTGTCATATGATTAAAGTGAAGTACCTAGGAAAGAAAAAGAGGGATTGACTGGCATCAAAAGCAACAGAGTATATAAAAGTGAATATTTACAAGCATCTCTTTTTCCATTTCAGATAAAGACCAACAATAGCTAACATTTAGTGATGTCATATTCTAAGTACTGAACTAAGCCTTCATGTATCTTACTGAACTCTCAACAGCTTTACAAGTGGATACTATTATCCTTGTTTCATGCTAGAGAAACTGAGCACAAGACAGATATTCCTCCACCACCCTCTGTCAATTTCCAGGGACAGAGCTCTTATCACAGGCTCTTCTGCTCCCTCCTACCATCCTCAGGCCGCTCACTAGGACAGTGCCCATCCAGGGTCATGTAAAACGTTACATGGTGTCCCTATACAATACCTATTTTGAGAGAAAGAAAATCATGAAAGTGCATTAAAATATGGAGTAAAGAAATAAAGGGCAAATGACAGTACAATATGTAAGTATCCTAGGGCTGTGAAGCGATATTCATCTAACTTTCCACAGCAATTAAAAATACAACTCCTAGCTCTGGGAAACGAACTAGGGGTGGTGGAAGGGGAGGAGGGCGGGGGGTGGGGGTGAATGGGTGACGGGCACTGAGGGGGGCACTTGACGGGATGAGCACTGGGTGTTATTCTGTATGTTGGCAAATTGAACACCAATAAAAAATAAATTTATTATAAAAAAATACATACAATGGAACAATCACTATACATCTGCCTGTGTGACCTGAAAACTTACCCCTTTTCTCCTAGTCTCTCTGTTTCCCCATCTGTAAAATGGGGATAACAACCCCTACCTGCCACACAGGACTCTTAGGAACTTCAAATGTACTGATGAATAATTTTTAAAACTTGAGGGCCTTTAAAGTATCATTAAGTTTTTTGTTGTTTTGGGTTTTTTTTAAAGATATTATTTATTTATTCATGACAGACACACAGAGAGAGAGGCAGAGACACAGGCAGAGGGTGAAGCAGGCTCCATGCAAAGAGCCCTATGAGGGAATAAAACCCAGGAATCTGGGATCACCCCCTGAGCCAAAGGCAGGCGCTCAACCGCTGAGCCACTCAGGCGTCCCCATTAAGTTTTAGTGCAGTTTACAATTCCAGAGGACAAGAATAGTACCACACATGTGTTCTCTGTAATATTTAAATCACTGGAAAAATAAACTCTAACGTACACTGCAGAAGTGTAGGTGTGAGAGCACTGATGGCAAGGAAGAGACTGTGTTGCATGTATTAGGATATTTGTATTATAATTATTACATTATTTATGCCATTATTCATTTTTAAGAAATATTATTTCCCCAGATGTTTCTTCTTTCACAAGATGGAAGAATTTCTAGAGATGTGACTATTTGGCTGACCCAGAGGGGTGCATGGATGACCTCTAGGCCATGAGGAAATCTTCACTGTGTTCCATACCTTTTCCATCTGCTCTGCACTGTTTCCTCTGGCACCAAGGAGGACCATACTTAGAGCATAGAGCAGGCTCAGTGGTGAAAAGAAGATGTTATCTCCTACGTTGTTACTGTTCAGTTCTTTGAACACATCAAGGCAAAATTCAGTGTTTGCTGTGCTGAGAGTATCCATTTTATGCTCAACACTACCTGAGAACAGATGGGGGGAAAGATCTCAGAATATCACTTGGAAGTACAGATAATCTACAGAGTTCAATTACTACATTTCATGAATATAAAAGTCTGGGCACACTGTTTCATGAAAAATTACATATTCATTGTTTTTGAGAGATCTGTAAATGCTGGAGGCGGGAATTCACAGTAGTTGCAGATTCTAATGAATGGAAGATCTTATTCCTTTCGACCCGTAATTCAAAGCTGTCTCAGTGCCATTTGTGTACATTTAACATTGTTCTGCAGTGAACAATGAGAAGGAATCGGGTCTTTGTGCACTCACTGTCTATGCTGTTAGACCTCCCTCATCCTGGAATTTGTATAGAAAAATTCTTGAGCTACACAAGTTCAGCCAAATGAGATGCTGCCCCACTAGGCTGCCCATCTTCATGGCCTCACAAGAGAAGAACACTTTTCTCTTTGTGGATACCTTCAAATTCTCCCCAGATGGCACAGTAAAAAATGGATTGCCTGCTGTTCAGCCCTTCCCCTTCCCTTCCCTTCTGTGCTAAGACGACACAGATCTCATGAAGCAGCTTTCACTTAGGCATGTACTTCAGAGGAGGTTTCATGCTCCCCCGGCCCCAGGAGCAAGCCTTGATTGGCTTAAGTCAATTGAGGTAATTGTCTATCCCTTATGAGTGACTAATTAGGTACAGATTTTAAGTTATAAATTCTGAGGATCTAATGTACAGCACGGTGACTAAAGTTAAAAATATGGAAATGATGTACAGTTCAAAGTTGCTGAGAGTAGCTCTTAAGCATTGTCTCTCTCTCTCTCTCTCTCTCTCTCACACACACACACACACACAAAGTTAACTATATGGGGTGATGGATATGATCTTGGGAAACATTCCACAATGTTTATGTGTATGATATCATCACATTGTACCCTTTGAATATATATTTGTCAATTATTCCTCAATCAAGTTTTGGGGAAATAAGTAGAATTTTAGGATTGGAAGCTGCCATGATTTTTGCCAGTAAGTACAAAAAGTCACTGCAGGACTTCTAGAAGAGGCCTTCCTTTGATAAAAGACTCTCAGGCCAGCCCTCTTCTTCCTCTCAGGGTTGTTGTGTCTTCATGTTACTACTATCACAACAGCTATTGTGTGACCATGTGTGATGTGCCAGCCCCAAGAGGCTAAGTCAGATGTCAGAGAGGAAAGGTGGACAGAACCAGAGTCTTTGTTGACACACCACTTAGTAGACAGATTAAGCTACCCCAAATCTGTCCTACCTTGGGATTTCTTGTCATGTAAGAGGAGGTTTCCTTATATTTTAACTCACTTTGGTTGAGTCTTTTGTTACTTGCACCTAAAGGCATCCTAACTTACTTTAGGGATTTCTTTATACACCCTTGTTTGCCAGGAACTGATTATCCACCTACCTCACATTCACACATTTCTAGCACAGCTACATCTTTTCCCTCATTTAGTCCCCCCAGCAGTCTGAAGTACTTCATTCTTCTTCCTCTCGTCTTCTAGATTACAGCTGTGCACTCTTGTAGAATCCAAGTCTAGACCTATATTCTCCAGGCTATTATGACAGATGGCCAGTCTATTATCTCTGCCTGGGGAATACTTATTTCAGTTACTAACTTGCCTTGTTTTCAGCCAGGACATATCTGATCTGAGCTTGCTGGAAGTGTGTTCTCTGGGGTGTGACTCTGTTGGTTACTGATTTAGGCATTAGTGTCACACCTCTCACTAAAACACAGTGCTTTGTGCCTTCAGAGCCAAACAAAGCCAAGCCTAGGGTGAAGGAAGGCCTCAGATCTGGGGTGGGGAGGAGAGTGCACAGCTCAGCATTTCTCAGGCAACAAGAGACTGAAAGGAAACGTGTTACTTGTGAACTTTCAAAATAATGACCTACCAAATTTATATGGCAAAAAAAGTGATGACACATCCCTGTAACTGAAACTGGTTGTCCTAAAATAATCATTAAGGACTAGATGCTACCTATTCCAATCATCAGACCACCCAGCATAATATAATAGAGCCTAAGAGTCATATTATAACAAGCCTGGACTGTATTTTTCTTTTCTCTATGACAGTTTTTTTAAAGGTATAATACAAAGGTTTTGCTAATCTTATTTAATGAGAATACTAACATGTGCCTTTAAGAGGACACTGTTCTTCAAGTTAATTTTAATACAGCTCTCTGTAACAGCTCTAATAATAACAATATCCTTGAAAGCTCTTTATTTAGTTATTTTAATAATGGTTTCAATTTTGGTCCAATAATAAAGCATGTCCAAGCCATATGCTCTTCATGCTGATTCTAATGGAGTTAGCTAATGGAGTCAGGTTCTAGAATGCAATTTCAGACTTCAGACTTATAAGTAAATGTAAATTTATTCTTCTTAAAACTATGTCACATTGTCATTATAAAAAGCCTGCCTGCATGTCAGAGTTCCAGTAGCCCTACAGTTTTGGGGGCACCTAGGAAAAGAATGTGAAATATACTGACCACCTATGGGAGCACTGCACTTTTATATTAATGTTTGTTTCTTCTCTGTTTTTTAACCATAAGCATAGAGGACTGAGTAACCACACCCTCAGTTCTTGGCACAGTGATCACTGGGCCACAATTCTCTTCTTTGCTTATTGACTTCAACCCAATTCATTTCCTTTCTCTTCCACTCCCATACGCAACACTTACAATTTGTTTAAAGTGTATTCTTTTATTTACATGAGTCCTTAAAAATATGTTTCCTTACTTTATGCATTTTTCATTTTCATAAATGAGCTTACACTGAATTTTTTTTCACTGAGTACTACATTTTTAAGACTCATCCATGTTACTCGGGAAACATTATCTGTTACTTGTAAGAACTGTGTTTTCATGCCTTCACATTTTTCCTATCCATTCCCCAGTGACAGACAACCATATGGCCTCCTCCTGCACACCATCATCAACAGAGCTATGATGAGCATCCTCACACACACACACACACACACACACAACACACACACACACACACACACACACACACACCCTTACACACCTGTGTGAGATTTCTCTGTAAAGGAAATGACTGAATCACAGGGTTCGTGTATGTGCCAAGCACTGCATACATTATTCAGAGTTTAAGTCCTACAGGATGGGTCATATTACCCAAGTTTTCCAGAGATAGCAGTGAGGGTTTGGGAATTCACATATCGTAAGTGGTGGAGCCATGATTCAAACACAGGTCCATCTGTTCTGAAACCCATGATCTTCCCATTTGCCACTGGATTCTACTCAGATAAGCTTTTATTTGAGGTAAAATGGCTTTATTTTTATGGCATTACCATTATTATCCCTATAAGAATAGCGTCTTACTAGAAAAATTAAGAAATTTTGTTCAAGATACAAGGCATTAATAGGCTTATTCTGATAATTAATGGTTATTAAATATAGTATTATTTCTCACTTCACAGTAAGATCTAGCTCTTCATGCATTTAATTCACAGAACCAAGAAGAAAAGCTTTCGGTTTAGATTTTTCTCAAAAATTATTGGGAATATATACTTAGAATTAATGCATGAACTTTGGTATTTGGCACGGTTATTTGCAAGACAGAGTTTTCACTATCATTAACTTAGCTCTTCAGAGCCCTACTTTCATCATTCACTTTCCAAAATTCCACCCCTCTGGCTGTTAGCACAAGAGTGTCCATGTTATTCTGGTGTTCAACGGATTTTATGCAGCAACCTTAATTGACCATTTCCTCTACATCTGAGTAGTTGTCTCTGTGAGACACTGAGACACAAATATGTGGATGAATTTACAGATTCTTATTCACTGAGTATGTTAATCTTCCTCCCTAGACTTAGCGCTCCTTGAGGGCAGGGAAAACCTACCCGTGAAATCATCCATGTCTTGCACAGTCACCCAACAATGGATGTGTATTAGAGAAATCAGCAGTATAAATATTTTACAATTTCTACTCTAATTAATATTATGCAGTCAGTTTCAGAAAAAAGGATCCCATGAAGACAGAAGTCCCAAGAAACTCAGAATCCTACTGCAGGTGCACAGACCCCAGAGAAAGCCCCACCTAGGAAGTGAGAGGAAGCTGAAGTGCCCCCAGGAGTAGAAGGACTTTGAAGTGAGCTCCCAGAGAAGGAAGGAATTGCAGAAAAAATTTTAGTGCACCTTCCTGTCTATTTTTAGATGGAGAAAAATCCCTCCTAAGCAAAAGGAATATGCCACCTGGAAGCTGTCATGGGAGAAAAACAGGGAAAGGATGTCCAAGGTTGCAGCCCTTCTAGTTTAAGAAGGATTTCTGGAAAAAAGAAAGCAGTCAGGAAATGTGAGGAAGAAACATGTCTTAAAGGGGATACCGTCACTAAAATTTTGTGAGAGGACAGAACACAGTAGGCATTCTTCCCAACACGTCAGGTCATTCATAGGCCACTCCAGTGCAGTTCAGATCTTCTAGGAACTAAGAAAAGGCTCATCCTGCAGAGACCAGAACCATGTGTAACTCTGTTCTGAGTAAGTTTATTAGTAAGGAGAAAATATCAACAGAGATCTATTTTGCTAAACCAATCAGAGGTTTGAAATTAAGTCAGCCTGCCTCAAGGATTTTAAAAATGTATATCCTCACTGTGAATGTATTAACAAGCATGTATTCATCGAGAGATCAGCAAAAGTCACACTCAATCAAAGAATAATCTTCACCCTCATTTAGCTCATTACACACCTGTCCAACTGCCATATTCTACTGCTCTTATCTTGCTCCTCTCGGACAATAAGCACAGCTGAAATAACGAAGTACAGAAATACTTCTCTTTACCTTTGTTGCTTTCCAGGGTGAAGTGGACAATCTGGCAGGTGAGATGGGAGCTGTGTCCCTGGAGAGGAAATTTAAAGCCTTCACTTTTTGCCCCTCCCTTTCCATTGTGTCCTTAGTGATTCAGCTCTACATCCGCCTGGCAGAAAGGACAGCCCTGAGAAGGAAGTCCCTCTAAAGGCTACCCAGAGCCTGCCACTGTGCATCCAGGAGACTCCCAGAATGGCCAGTGCTTTCTGGAGAAGTGCCTAATTCTTAACCTCCTTATGCCCTGCTAATGAGGAAACATCTGCCAGTCTAATCTCTATTTAAGAAAATAAGCTCTCTTTCTAAAAAGAATAACTGTGGCACGTTCAAGTTGGTAGTGTCACATTCAAAGTTCCAAAGATTTCTGTTTCAGTATGTATGCATGGTACACAGTTATTCAAAAAGAAAGATCCCAGCAGTGACAGAAAGATTCTAGCCATGATGGATGCTTCCTTGCCTGAAGCACAATCATCCCAAGATTTCCCGAGCTCTCCTGCATGGAGTGTATGTTTTTGTGTGGAGCTTCTCCTGGCAGGTAATTCCTATCCCATAAAAAGGACTTAACAATGAGCTCAAGCAGAATTTATTCTGTGGTTTCAGTTTAAAAGCTTGGTAAGAGCAACAAGCCATCCTTACCTAAAGTGAGTTCAGAGGTATGATTCAGCCCCATGCAAGAAAGATTATAGATTAGGGGTAGAGATCAAAGCTGAAGACAGAAATTGTTTGGGCTGTGCAGTAGCCAGAATCAGCACTATGAGACAAGCCTAGCTTCCCAGAGGCTATTCTTACCCATGTAATACACAGCCCAGCCTCTTCAGGAGGACACCATTGCCCAAACTTACTATGATGCCAGATTGCACTATATTTATGACAACAGAAAATCCTTTATGGCCAGTGATTTTTTTGCACATCCTAGGTATGCAATATGTTCTCCTTTAGTCCAACTCAACCATTCTAGGGATGCCTGGACTGGTGCAGTTGGAAGAGCACAAGACTCTTGATCTGAAGGCTGTGAGTTCAAGTCCCACGTTGGGTGTAGAGATCATTTAAAAACTAAAATCTTTAATTAAAAAAAAACCTCAACCATTATAAAAGAACAGAACCAGAGGAAGTAGGTTTAAAATTACAGCCCTATGAAAAATTAGAGAGAAAGACAAACTATGAGAGACACCTAACTTTGGGAAACAAACAGAGCTGCAGAAGGGGATGTGGGTGATGGGATAGGGTAACTGAGTGACAGGCATTAAGGCGGGTTCATGATTAGGTGAGCACCAGGTGTTATATTATACATTGGCAAATGATATTTAAATAAAAAAATTAAAAAATTACAGCCTTAATATCCACTATGCCTATAAGATTCTCATAAAAATAATTATATACAACTAATCACACAGAGCTAAAAAGAGTCCTAAATCTTTCCAGCTTTTTTTTTTTTTTTTTTTTTTTTTTTTTGCTCAGAGCCAAGTGTTTTTTTATGTGAGCCCATTCTGACTGGGAGTTTCCATCTCTTGAAAGCTTCATATCCATGGTTAGGGCCCATCCTCCCCCTCTTCGGCTCATTTTTATCTCCTTTCAGATCTAGTAAGAAAAAGACTTATTTTCTTAGCTTTCTTGCTATCTAAGAATTGAAGTGATCAAAGAAGATCTTTTTCCCTTAGTTTAGATGGAAGGCCTGTTATTTCCCCCACTAAAGAAGAAGTTATTGTACTCCATTTGATTTTTCCTCCCCCGTAGAAGGCCATCCATTCACATAATACTCTGCCTCCCTTTACTCTCTCACCCACTCCTCCTTCCCTAGTGTCTCAGCCTGGATTCTCGGAAAACAGAGCCTTAGACAAAGTCTTGCGTGTCTGGAATTAATGCAGGCAATGATCTCAGGGAATAGAACAGAAAGCAGTGGTACAGGAAAAGAGGGAAAGCTTATATAAGGGTTGTTGTAAGTTGACCACTGGTACCTGATCCTGTGGACCTTCTAAAATGTATCTCAGAAATGTCCACGTAGAGGATAAAGGAGGGAATCATTTATCTACCAGCTTTCATCCCCATTGATCAAAGGTGACCTAATGGCTGTTAATGCAGGTTGAACTTGTACACATGTCAAGCATGCGTATTCCACACCAAAGCATCAGAAAAGCCCTGGAGATAGAAGCAAGAGGTAAGCAGAGGTATCAGGCTGCAATGTACAAAGGCATTCAAGCCTGTGCAGAATTGACAGCCTTACTAGCCCCTAGATTAGAAAGTGGGACAGCACTTAAACAGGTGTCCAACACATCTAACCCATGACATTGCCCGTGGGTGGGTTTCGGAGAGAAGCTGCCAGGCTCCTCAACGTGAGTGCTAGCTATCCAGGAGAAGAGCACACTCTGGTCCTTTCCTCTTCCCAAGGTTCTTCCTGGTGCAGTGCCCCACATTGAGGGTCCAGTAATTTCTATGACTAGGTTGTATGTCTGTCTAATTCTGCAGACTAGAATTAAAATCTACTGCTGGCTCATACCTAATCCTGTCATTCAACATATCCTGACCTGTAATAAATATTGTGTCCTCCGTCTGCCTGAGTTCTTCAACTTTCTCTCACTATTTTTCAGGACTGAGGTGAGGTAAGAGCGCTCTTTATTGGATCTCATAGCCTAGGACATTAGCATGGGCTGGAGAACAGAGTACACATGCTGGATTTCCCTCACCATGGGCAGGCCATCCTGATGATGGCCTCTATCAGAAGTTATAGGAAAATTTCAAGAACTACCCTAGAGGCAACCAAGAGGGCATAAGAATCTTAACAGAAGTTGCTTTGATGGTGTTCCCAGGGAAGAATCTAGGCTGCAATACATTGCAGAACCTATTAGAAAAGAACACACACTTGAAGAGAAGTTGTGACATAAGAATGCTAGAGGAAGCAAAGCTGCAGAACTTTTTACCTGCAACTTTAGCCTACTGTAACCAGGGAAAAAACAATGAATGATAAGTACAACCTTCCCAGAGGAAGGAGGTCACAAGAGCAGTCACAAGAGCAGTGGAGCCAGGACCAGCTCTTTGGTTTCAGCAGAGATAACAAGTGAAGGGTGAGTATGAGTATACAACAAAGAAGCAAGAGATTTATGGTGGAATTGAGAGGCTCTGCTGGGATGGAAAAAAAAAAGAAAGGAACTGGACAAAGTAGATCCTGTTTAGACTGAGTTCATTGTTCTTGGGAGCTTAGCATAGAAGAGAGGGTGTGGAGGACTTTGGAAGCACCTGCTCTATGTGGGAGATAGAAAGGGATAGAGAATGTTGACTTCTGGAATTTTCATTTGCATTTTTTCATACCACTTTGTAAAGTAGCCAAATTTAGCAAGTAAAAATACAGGGTTCTTAGTTATATGAATAATTTTACAGTATATCTCAAGCATATGGAACAAATTTATACTATGTATAGCATATATTTCCAGTAAAGAAAGCATTGTCTGAAATTCAAATTTAACTGGGTTTCTGTATTTTGTCTGTATTTACCTGTATGTGTGTGTATATATATATGTGTGTGTATATATATACTCCTCCTCACATGAGAAGCCTGGCAGCTTCTCTCTGAAACCCGCCCACGGGCAAGTCATGGGTTAGATGTGTTGGACACCTGTTGTGAGCCACTTTACTTGCTGTGGAATTGAGCATGTAAAGTGCTCAAATGTGTGTGTGTGTGTGTGTATATACATTTGACATATATATGGCATATATATGACATATATATATTGACTATATATATTTATATATACATTGACATTTACTTGAACTAGACACAGAATTAAGGTCCACAAGGCAGCCTGATGCAGATTTGGATACTAAATGTATGTACTGAATAAAGGAAAAAAATAGACAAGTGGTTATTGTTAAAGAAAAGACAGAAAAGTTGATAAGCAAAGTTGATTAAAAAAAGCTACCCAAGGAGATATAAGGTGGCAAGATGCAATGCAGGTAGAAGAACCAACTTTACACAAAATGAGGGATGCTCCTTCCCAAACATAAGAGTACAGCAAAAAAGGATGAATACATATTTAAATAAATTTGCATGTAAAAGTTTTGTCTAGCAAAGACCCCACCAAAAAGGAGAATTACAGACCAATATCCCTGATGAACATGGATGCAAAAATTCTCAACAAGATACTAGCCAATAGGATCCAACAACACATTAAGAAAATTATTCACCATAACCTAGTAGGATTTTTCCCCGGGACACAAGGCTGGTTCAACACTCGTAAAACAATCAATGTGATTCATCACATCAGCAAAAGAAAAACCAAGAACCATATGATCCTCTCATTAGATGCAGAGAAAGCATTTGACAAAATACAGCATCCATTCCTGATCAAAACTCTTCAGAGCGTAGGGATAGAGGGAACTTTCCTCGACATCTTAAAAGCCATCTACGAAAAGCCCACAGCAAATATCATTCTCAATGGGGAAGCACTGGGAGCCTTTCCCCTAAGATCAGGAACAAGACAGGGATGTCCACTCTCACCACTGCTATTCAACATAGTATTGGAAGTCCTAGCCTCAGCAATCAGACAACAAAAAGACATTAAAGGAAAAAAAAAAGACATTAAAGGCATTCAAATTGGCAAAGAAGAAGTCAAACTCTCCCTCTTCGCCGATGACATGATACTCTACATAGAAAACCCAAAAGCCTCCACCCCAAGATTGCTAGAACTCATACAGCAATTTGGTAGCGTGGAAGGATACAAAATCAATGCCCAGAAATCAATGGCATTTCTATACACTAACAATGAGACTGAAGAAAGAGAAATTAAGGAGTCAATCCCATTTACAATTGCACCCAAAAGCATAAGATACCTAGGAATAAACCTAACCAAAGAGGTAAAGGATCTATACCCTAAAAACTATAGAACACTTCTGAAAGAAATTGAGGAAGACACAAAGAGATGGAAAAATATTCCATGCTCATGGATTGGCAGAATTAATATTGTGAAAATGTCAATGT